AGAAAATAAAATGAACCTATCTGCACTAGTTTCAATTGTTATTTTTTTCATTTCATCAAATGCCTTAACCAGATCAAAGGTGGCATGATAAGTTTTTTAAAGTTGTAGAATATTTTTTTAATTTTTTATATACACCATTTGGATGCAAAATACCTGCTTTAAAATTACAAGTAAACCATTTGTTTATGACATTTTGTACAGTTAATAGCTTTTTAGAAACAATGATTACTCTCTGTGATTTGTCAGTACTAGTGCATGCTTGGAAAGAGGTTCAGTCTTTGATAAGGGTTTTCATTAGGTGGTGAAAACACCTATATTCCCAAGAATAGCTGAGTTTATATTTGGTATACGTGAAATGGCCACTTTCATCAATCTGTTGAACGCTGCTTGTGTTACAGTGACATTATCAAGAGGACAACTTTTTTCTTTACTAAAATACCTGAGAAGAGAAATATGCCTCTTATCTGCATGCTGATATCTCTATTTCTCTGCTGGGAACTAATTTAAACACTTCATGAGAGATTGACATTTTCAGTGCCTTAAACATTCTTAAAAGCTGCTTTGTTCATTGCAAACCATATTTAGTATGACCTCATAATAATGTAGCACACCTCAAGTGCCATGCCTGTCTTTACTATGCACACTGGAGCTATGTTCATCTATACTAGACAATTGCACTTCAAGGAAGGTTTTTTTTTTTCTTGATAGGCAATTAGCAGTAATTAGGAAGAATCACCTCAATAAGATGTCAACATGAGATTGTTTAAAGAAGTTGAATGTCAGTGGCTTTAAAAGAGGGTTTTTTTCCGCTGACACAAAGGTATGACATGTGAAACATGAAATGTTAATTTAACTTTTCTGCTTATTATTCATGCACAATATTATTTTGTCATTCAGATGCTACACTGACAGAGTGCAAAGGGTGTTAAAATAGGGCTGCTAGAATAAAAAGAGGATTAATCTACCATTGGCCAATTAGCCAAAGGGTACTTAATGGTCTCTAAAGGCTACTGAAGTCTAACAACTACCTAAAGCACTGACAAAAAGTCCTCTGTATTACCTTCATTTACTTGACATTTTGTAAAACACAGTCAGATGCTGAAAACTACATTTGGCTGAAATAAAATTAGTAACTGATGCAGTATATTTTACTAAAATTTCAGAAAAATAAGTGGCAAATAACATTCACGTTTTAAAACTTTTTCTTGCACTTTTGGATGTGTGTTTTGATTTAGGAATAGAGTACTAAATCAGCAAAGTCTTCTGTTTCATATTTTCTATGCATGTCTGGAATGCTAAGTAATCATCATGCATATGAAGAAAAAATTCGCTAGCAATTTGGAGTTATTAGTCTTTTCTGTGTATCATCATGTTAAATATGCAGCACCGTTGGCTTTCTAGTCCAGAATTTGTACATATATTTTCATATTTTCAAATAGCTGCGTACCATTTTTATTTATTTTAGCTTTGTTTTCTGTGAATCATCAGGCAGAATTAGGTTTTGATTCAAGAGAATGAGACAGGGTCAAGATTAGTGGGACTGACTGTAAATTTTGCCTTGGATATTGTTAAGTACCTCAATACCTGCAAGTATGTTTTGAAAAGGTCTTTCATGGTTTGTGTTTCCAACAAGTACTGTTATCTTACATGTTTTTCATGATTGATCTAAAGCTGTGAGAGAAGAGTGTTCTTGTTTTAAAAGCAGTGTTGGATTTTAAAATGGAACTTGTTATAGGAGCTCTGCAGCATAGCAATTGTATTTTATGGCCTGCTGTTGCAGGTTTTTTTAGAAAAAAGAAAAAGGAAGTCTAGGTATTCAAGTCTTTTAGAGAAATATCTTTACACATATTGCACTGTGTTTGTAAGCCAGGGTTCTAGGATGAGAAAATTACTAAGTGTGATCTTAACACATCTAGTGATGTTTGTACTGGTTGTAGTTGGATTACAAAATGAGTAGTATAAAGTTGTTGTTGCTTGATGAGGGTTATCAAGAATGCCTGATTTACATCCTGTTCTGCATTTCTGTATCTTGCACAGAAATACATTCTCCTTAATCTGCTAATACTGTATTAACCTGTGGTTTCATTTGCAGCAGTGCTAATGTGGTGGCAGTCACCACTGGCAGAAATGTCATATATTCTAGTTGCATAGGTGAGTGAGTCTACTATAGGTCTGTATTTGAAGCTCCTCGCTGACTAGTTCTGATACGGGGGAGTAGTAGGCTTTTCCAGGAGCTTCCTATGTGAATCCACTGAATCCTGCCTATATCTGTGTTTCTGAGTATGGTAAAACATGTTGCTGAATCATTCGGAGTTTTGTATTTCCTGCACAGAAACTAAGATTTCATCACTTATCCCTTTGTGTATAGCAGAACAGACTTTCATGGGTATACCAGGAGCAAGGAGATTAAGATAGATGGGTGTTAATAAAATATTGAATCTATAAACATCTGTTAAGCCAAAACACTCTGGAGGAGGTGCAGCAGACAAAGGCCGCTACATCTTGGAGGAACAGCGGTAGCCTTCCTTTACAAACATCTGGTGTAGCTGGTGTTTAAGATTCTACCTTTCGTCCTGGTGACCTCTTCCCTTGGAGCAAATCCTTTTTACTCTGTCACTCAGGATTTGTGTGTGTGGTAACACGCACACACACAGATATCTTATGTGTCTAAAAAAGAATAAAAGCCTTGATCAGACTGCAGTTACGTGCCTGTCTTTGTCTGGTTTTGCAAATTAATGGGGTTTGTCCTGTGCATACTACTTTGACTTTACTCCAGTAGGTTTGATTTCCACATTTAATATTTGTATACTTTTACATATGACATATATTTTCTACTTCCCACTTAAAATTATATAGCCATCAGAGCAGTGCCTTCTTTGGTCCAGTTACACACCTTTCTTTTTCAATTTGTTAGCTGCCATTTTTGGCGATGTGGCCACTGCAATCATAACATTTTAGACCATTTTAACATTTTACTACTGCTGGCAGCAGTAGTCTTAGATGTCCTAAGAAACTTCTGTAAGTAGCTCTCTATTTTGGGCAGTTATAGGGGTATCTGTAATTTTAATCAGATATTGATCTAGCTATGGTAGTTTGAGGGGGTTTTTTTGTTTGTTTTTTGTTTTTTGTTTTTTTTTTTGCTTTTCTTTTTATGAACGATTTATTGTGGAAACACTGAATCATGAAATTCTGCATGTAGAAATATTGACAATACTAGACAAATCAACCTAATTCATATACTATTCTATAGTATCTGTATCTTTCTGTACTGTTACTTGTTTTGCTTTTTAAAGAAGTCTTCATTTTGTCTTTTTTTAACTACCTTGTACTAATTGTAAGAATAATAGATTACAGAACAACCAATTATTGTATACATGAACTCTCTTTATGTCTCTGTCAGTAATTATTGCAGACAGAAAAATTAACCCTTTTACTAAGAACAGTACTTATCTCAGATACACATGTAGACTACCTATTGGCTTTAATAGTATAAAATACCATGGGTATAAAATACCATCAGAGTTTCAACTTCATAATGCATTTTCTTGTGTTGGTGATAATTTTTAAGCTAATGTAAAATATGTGCAATTTCTGAAGTCATTTATAATGAAAATAAACCTGGAAGTAGTATTTCTTTTATTTGGATATGCGTGGGATTCTCATAAGGCCAGTGTGGAAGAGTGGATATATAAACACACGTAGAAAATGCACAGACACACTTGGTCATTTCTAACTGTAATATCTTCTCCAGTTTCTTACCATTCAATTTTTTTTCTCTTTTGAGATACTTGCAATATTATTTTGTATTATTGTTCCTTATGTTAAACTATGATGTTACAATCTTCTTTATATTAAAAAGATACAGCTTCAGGAGCGGAGAGTCCTTAGGCCTCTGCTCCTAACTGTGGATTTGTTAAAGTTTAAGCACTAGCATGAAGATTATTTATTTTCCACTATTCATAGAATAATATTCATTATCATTTGAATTAAAATATTTTTTTTGTTTAAAAGATTGCCTCTATTAGGAGTGCTATGAAATACATTGTTACAAAGATTAAATGTCTTGTCAGTTGTCAATCAAGTGCAACAAGACTGAGAGTTAGTTTGCATGTTATTTATTTGAACTAAATCCCTAACAAGCCTCGTCTGCTAATTGGACTTAGCATTTATGTTGCTAAATGAGAAGCATTTTGGCTGCAGTATAGGGTGGTAAGACCTACCCAGTGGAATAAACAACTAACATCTGTTATCCTGTCCTGCTCCAGCTTGGCTTTTACCACTTAAGTACCTCAGCCCTAGAGTCAAGGTTATGGAATATGTGGTTCTCTGGCTATGGTGCTTATATGTGAAAGGGAAGAAATAACACAACATGAGTAAAGACCAGCCAACCAGAAGATATTTAGTGCAGCTGGTCCACTTTGCTTTAACCTCTACAAGCCCTACAAATATCAAAACAAAAGCCAAGAGAAGAGTGTTTTATAGGAGTTAGTTATCAACACAGAAATTCAAGCAAGCGTACAGTGGTTACCATTAAACAGATTTGACATTTAACCACCTTTATTTAATACACCTTGCTGCTTGAGAAATCTTGGTACTTCTTTATCAGTATAGAAATAATTTTGAAGTCCCAGAAAGACACTAGGTAAATAGGTTTCAAGAGTAACTACCATTTACAGTTGTTTGGGTTTTTTTTTAATTAAAATGAAAATCTTTTATTAAAATGAAAAATTTGCCTGTGATGGTAAAAACTGCAACAGTCAAAGTTGAATCAGCTTGCCTTTAAAAAAAATGTTTGTTTTCGATGTTATTTTACTCCTCTCTCCTGCCAGACTTCATTTTTTGCATGGACTAGAGACTTCAACCCACAGCGATGCAGTATAATAATAGATAACATATTCTGTTTCATTCTTCTTGAATTCTAAACCACAGAATATCTGATATGATCTAGCAGAAGTATTTTTAGGATGCAATTGTGATTGTTCCTTCTGTTTGTAAAACAGGTGTTGACCTCCAACCTGGCCAAATGGCAACAGGAAAAGGAAGATTTACAAGGAAAATTGAAGTTGAGAGAACATCTGTCTCAAACTGCTGGCAAGAGTGAAGTCACACCAGCTCCTTCAAAGAACACTGATTTAGAGATGAAACAGCTGCAGTGCAAACTAAAGGTGACAGAACAGATTATTCAGTGCTGAGTACAATTCACATGAGCAGTATTTAATAACTGGGTCAAGCAGATAAATATATGTATATATATATACACACACACTCACAGAATCGTGGGGGTTGGAAGGGACCTCCATCATCGAGTCCAAGCCCCTGCCAAAACAGGTTCCCTACAGCAGGTCGCACAGGTAGGCATCCAGGCAGGTCTTGAACATCTCCAGAGAAGGAGACTCCACCACCTCCCTGGGCAGCCTGTTCCAGTGCTCCGTCACCTCACTGTAAAGAAGTTCTTGCGCATGTTTGTGCGGAACTTCCTATGCTGCAGTTTCTGGCCATTCCCCCTTGTCCTGTCTTCACACACTGATGAAAACAGTCTGGCCTCACTGCTCTGCCCCCCACACCTTAGATATTTATAGACCTGGATCAGGTCCCCTCTCAGTCTTCTTTTCTCAATGCTGAACAGACCCAGTTCACTCAGCCTTTCCTCATAGCAGAGATGCTCCAGGCCCTTCACCATCTTTGTGGCCCTCCGCTGGACTCTTTCCAAGAGATCCCTGTCTTTTTTGTACTGGGGAGCCCAGAACTGGATGCAGTACTCCGGATGAGGCCTCACCAGAGCAGAGTAGAGGAGGAGGATCACCTCCCTCGACCTGCTGGCCACGGTCTTTTTAATGCACTCCAGGATGCCATTGGCCTTTTTGGCCACAAGGGCACACCTCTGGCTCATGGCCAACCTGTCGTCCACCAGGACGCCCAGGTCCCTCTCTGCAGAGCTCCCCTCCAGCAGCTCATCCCCCATCCTGTACCAGTGCATGCAATTATTCCTAGATCAATACTCCACACTCACTTTTCTTAAACCTCATCTGGATATATGCATATCATCTAGGTGTGATATGCCAAGGATTAAGTTTTCAAATAATCTTTGATGTTGAATAGAAATGTAGTCATAACCTGAAGAGCTGGTATGTATAATTAATATAATTTTTACAACCAGATGGGCCAAACGGGGGCCTTGGGGGGGATTAGTTAGTTTTTGTACAATTAAATGTATCTTGTTGAAAAGTGCAGTAGAATGACTTTAATAAGAATTGTGGCAATTTCTTTGCTTTCTTTAAGAAGGAGCTGGGCAACAGCTATCTGTGAAAGTGAAGAAATGAATTTTGGCTGAATGTGCAGCTCATGTAACAGTAATGTATTGGTGTAACGTTACATATTGGTCACTACTCTTTTTGTCTTCAGAGAGAGATTGTTGTTTTTATATTTGAGTTTTTTGTACATTGGCTAGTTGGAAAATACTGATGAATTGATTATTTCATTTTTCAGTCTCCAATGACTGTTTATTGAATGAATGTAGATTCTAGACTGTATTGATGCATTTGAGAGCTTTTTCAATATCTGTGCACCTGGATCACAGTACTACCTTTCTCTCTTCTCAGTGAAGGAAGTGAATGTACAACAGAGTGTCTTAACAGTTGCAGGGTAGCAGAGTGTCCAAGAGTTGGACTCGATGACCCCTGTGGGTCCTTCCAACTCAGGATACTATGATTCTATGATTCTGTGTCTTCACTGATGGTTGAATTGGATGAGTATTTTGAGTGTGGAGGGCATCACAAGCTACTTATATCAAGTTACTGAAATTGTTAGCCTTATTTTGACCTGTTCATTTGAAAAAAAAAAAAAAAAAAAAAAAAAAAAAAAAAAAAAAAAAGTTTGGAAGTCTTTTTTTAGCAGAAGAAGTTCACAGGAATTGTCAGATGTTGTTCCAGATTAACCGCGGTTAAAGAAGGCACACAGTTACTCCTCTGAATGTCTGAAGGCTCAAGCTCCAAATGCTTTTGCTGTTGCTCAGAATCTCAAATTATCTGATTTTGTTCTTTTGTCAGAACTAACTATGAGGTATTTCTGTTGTATGTATTGATTCCTTGTTACTTTGCCAATACGGAGTGTTTTAGGTGTAGATGATGAGTTTGGAAGCAAAATGCTGCAAGCAAATGTCTGCCTCTAAGCCTGTGCAGGGCCCCACGGAAGTACTCAAGTGCATATCTATCTGGTGTGTAAAATATGTAACTGGATGCTGTGCTTCATGCTAGTGAAGTTCAAGCCCAACAAACAGGTCTCAAGGATATTCCATTTTCTTATATCATTTTAACAATTTTCTGTAATATCTCACATTATAATAACAGCAAACAGACTAGAGAAGTTACAAAGAACAATATTTTACTTCTAACTGTTCACACAAGAATATATATTCCTCTGGCAGTGCAGAGAGTTAGGTACAATGCTCCCATTAATGTTAATAGGTGTTACAGCCTGCACTGCACAGAGAAATTCTCCTCAAGAATCTTTGTTTATAACATGTCTGATCTGCTCACTTACTGTTTATGCACAGTGAGTAAAGCGCTTTAGCACATTGGCTGAACCCGCAAAAAGGCATGCATATATTTTATGCAAACACTTCACACATACGTATCTCTTGGCAACACCTCTTGGAGTTCTGAAATCTTGACATGCATTATGTGTGAGCTGCCATTTTCAGCAATGGCATTCAGAGCATATGCTCAGATTGCTAAGATGGCTACTTCAGTTAAATGTCTTTTTTGTTGTTGTTGTTTTTTGTTTTTTGTTTCTGCAAAGCAATTTAATAATACTGTATTTAAATCTTGGAATCTTAGGTAGATTATCTGTGTGTTTCCATGGAGGACTGTGGGGATTTTTGTTGTTTTGTTTGTTGTTGATGGTGGTGGTTGGTTTGGTTTGGTTTGGTTTTTTTTCCTTCCTACTATATAGGCAAACACTGCAGAATTCCTTTTTAGCATTGCATATGCGTAAACTCTGAGACTGTACTTTTTCATTACAGAAAGACAGGATTTTTGTTAGTATGGCTGAGACTGTTTCATCTTTTGCTTTGCCTTAAAAGGCACGCAAAGGTGACAACTGCTGTAGGATTTTTTGGATCTCCCAAATGCACAGGATGAAAGGGATTGTTGGAAACAGTTTTCTTTAGGCTCTTGTGCAGTAGAACCATGTAGGAGTATGGTTCAAATAAAGACCAGAATTTCTTTCTCTTCTCTCCTGTTCCCTTTATAATTCTTTGTTATGCAAGAGAAAATTTGGTCCTGTTAGTGCACTCAGCTTGCATGTATTTTTATGAATATCTATTAATCATACATTTTGACTGGCTTTGAGAATATTTTCCAATGAAAGTGTTTTTGTTTAAGTGTTGCTAGAAAGTAAAAATACTCCTTTTGTACAATGTAACCAATTCCAATTAGTGTTTAATACAGTCCTTAGTATGTGGAAGTTTACACATCCTATTATTTCAGATTTGCTGTTGACTGAGATAGCATTGAATCTCATTTATTTCTGTTCTAATGTTCTTCAACACAGAATTCAAATAGTGAAATCACTAAGCAATCAGCGACCATTAAGACACTGAAAAACGAAGTCCAGGAAAAAGAAGACCGGATTCGGGAACTCCAAGCTAAGTATGTTAACTTTTTTATCCATTGTGTTTGGTGCCACCCAGCGGCAGCTGTGCAGTCGGTACGGCAGTAACTGAGCATTGGATTCTCTTATGACCTCGCGGACTGTTACAGATTTGCGTTTGTGTTTTTGTGGTTTGTTTTGTTTTTAAGAAATTCAAAAAGTACAGGATAAAATTGCATGTTGTTTAAACTGCTATGTGATAAGTGTCTCTGTATTGCAATAAGAATGCCTTAAATCAGAACTCAGACCCTAGAGTGGAATTTTTTTTTTTTTTATCCTTGATGTAAGTCTAAATGAATTCCTCAACACTGTTAAGTACTGTCTTTCAAATACTGTAATTCTTTGCCTAGGGGCTAGGAGACATGTCAAGGTTCAGATGCTTAAAGAAGATTAACTATCCAGTCTTACATTCATAAAAGTTCAAAAGGACAGTTGTATTTCTTTCTATTTGAATTGATTAAGGTTTACCACTCGTTTTGAAATTCACATGTATTGGTTTGAAGTATGCATCTGAGATTTTTATTCTGCCCACTTACTTGGGCTGATGTAATACAGTCTTCCATTATATTGCTTTATAAATGTAACCTATTAGTGTGTCTGTGAATTTCTGGCTGGTTGCAAAGTTTAACTCCTCTAATTATTGTAATTTTTTAATTTGTAGAGAGGATGCAGTTTACTTATCTGATTTTTTTCATTTCGAATATAGAGTACTTTTAAAATGGTTGAATCATGCGTGGTGTATTTTTTGTTTCCAAATAAAACTGATGCCTTCTGCCAGTGTTCAAGCTTAACTTTAAAATTGAGTTACCAGTGCTTGTGCTTCCCTCACAGAATATATACCGTTTTTTCATAAACTTTAAGATTTATTCACCAAAACAACAGTAGCATAAATGTGAAATAGATAGAAGAAATTTTAAGATTTAATAGTTTCCTGACTTTTAATATGATAGTGACATGTTATCAACAATATTTTATTCCTGAATAGATTGTCATTTTTCCTTTCATAAAAAGAAATCCAGATGTCTAGATTTCCGGTGCTTGGGTGTTGCTTATGTTTATACTGAATGTATGTGACAACTGCAGAGGCATTGCATGAGACATGATTTTCTCATTAAACAGAAATCATCTTGAAGTACGTGGGAGTTTCTTTAGTTGAGAAATTTGTGAAAAAATGCTATTTTTTTTTTTATTTCAATCTTTTTCAGATAATAGAGCTTTTTTATTTCAATCTTTTTCAGATAATAGAGCTTTTTTCCTTGTATTTCTGTTTATTGCTGAGTTGGACGAAAGGAAAATCTCCCCCTTCACTTTCTTTTAAAAAGAATTCTATACAAAATAAAAGAATTCTGTAAAAAATAATTTTTGAAAGATATCTCCTTCAAATGTCAAATTTTAATTAACTTCCCTTTTTCTTTAGTAATATCTTAGAAAGTATCATAATGAGTTGAAAGAGCATTAATCACATCAAAAAGCAAATCACAAAATAAGTCATGTATTTCAAAATCAGTCTATTGGTGTGTCTTTATGGTTAAGAGAAAGGTGAGCTGCAAGATTCAAATAACTTTTATTAAAAAAAAATTGAAAACTATGGAATGATAGTTTCTCTACTGCGTTTCTTTTTTTTTAAGTTGTTTAAAACAGTTGCGTATCAGTAGTATTTTCTAACAGTAACATGCAGTGTGACTTCTTCCCTTTTAGGATTTCTCGGTTGGAGAGAGACCTTACTATGAAAAGACATTTGATAGAAGACTTAAGATCTCGTCTAAAAGCAAACCAAGAAAATGAGAAAGCCTGTAAGGAAACTCTAGAAAGTCTTGAGAGAAAGGTATTTCTTTCTTGCTAGCTACAGTTTTAAGAAAACCAGGAGCTAATGTATTTGAAGAAGTTATTTTAATCTTCTATACATACAAAATCAATATATTGCTTCAAGCGTGCATCGTACAGTTAATTTAACCATATAACTTCCTCCACTTTAATTTGTATGAAATCAGTATATGGGTGATAGTTTGGATGGATTCAGCATAATTTAATGTCTGATCATAAGAGGTAATTAAAATTTGAAGTATTCAGAACACTGAATTGCAAAGACATGCTGTAAGTAGCACGATTTTGTTTTATACAGTCTTAGTTCTTTAAAGCAAGGAAGATTCTACCTGACACATGCTAATGAGGTCCTTGCACATCTGCTGAATGCAGTATTTAAATGGTTTAATATGTTAATTTGTATTGTACTGGAGTATTATGAGTGATTCACACTTACTAGCTTTTAACACTTATAGTAATTCTGTCTGTATAGGTGAAGCTTAATTTCTATACTAGATTATTTCTCCAGCAAAATTCCAGGACAATTTAACTGAAGCTATGAGAACTTGTGTATATCTTGATATCTTTTCATATTATCCAAGCAATATGTTGCACTTAAGTCTCTAATTCCTGGAATTCCTGGTTGTCTGTGAGTTTATGTGGCATATGACCTCAAAATAGAAATAAACAATTTACCGGTTTGCCTTTTTTTTTAATCGTAGAATGCAGGTGCTTGCTGCAAACTATAGATACTACCTCTGCTTGAAGTCATTAAACGCTTTCAGCTCTAGAGAGAGCTACTCTCTTACCCTCCTTGCCAAAGATGAAGTGCTATTAAGAAATGTTCAGCCAGAGAGTGAAAGCATAAGCAAGAGAGTTGAAGAGTGAAATGAGAGAAATACTTGGTTTTGTTTTTGAAAAACAATTTAGAATGGATGTACTTTAATCCTGTTTTTGAGTATTATAAATGCTGCAAGTTTCAGATTCCAGAGAATCAAATTCCATACATTACTTTGGTTATTCCATACGGAAAATCAGCTTCATAAATTTTACATTAACTTCACCAGAAGATCAAAGAAATTCCCTGTTACTCGATACTGCCTGGACAACTTTGTGATTAATACTGTCAGTAGAACATGTACGATATTCTAGGAGCATTGGCCTCTTGCATTTTATACAGAATCAGTGTTTGCACTGTATGGCAAAATTATAATAATTATCTGTGGAGACTATTAGCTTGTTGATAGTTACTATTTCCCCAGCTCGGTTTTGATTGATGTAGTTTACCTCTGGTTGATTGAAGAAATGAGTGAAAACTTGGGTTTATTCACTTCTGTGTTCACTATGACATTGCAGCCCTGCAAATGAAGAGTTTTCTTTACATTTAATACAAGGCTTTGTATAACAGGAATGAGTATGGAAACTGATCTCTGCTAGGTAGTCAGCAACAATGGACTTCGTAATTTCAGAAGAAAATGCTTGAATAAAATAATTTATGTAAAGCATGGAGTTATGTTGCAGTAGAATGGGCTTGGTTTTTGTTTTTATATTTTCTATCTTAATAATCAAATTGACTTTCACTTGTATTTCAGGTAAAGTCACAGTCTGAAGACTGTTCAAACAAAAAAACTTCCATTGACTCATTGAAACAAAGACTTAAAGTAGCTATAAATGAGAAGTCTCATTATGAGCAGATGTATCACAAGGCTAAAGATGAGCTAGAGAAAAAGGTATATTATCTTTGTGTTGAATTTACTGTAAAACTTTTTCATACCTCACTTTCAAATAAAAGTTGCAAGGTTATCATTTTAGACTTTTTAAATATATAAAGGAAGAAAAGGAATCATAATGGTGTATTTCACACTATTTTCATTCGCTCACTGAAATTTGGGTGATGAAAGATGGACTCAGTGACTGCATATGAAGTTACTTTTCCCCGTGAAAGTATCTTTTACGTGTTCTGTGCTATTTACCATTTTGTGGTATTTTATTTGTTTGACTGTGAGCTACCATGCCTGCCTGTCAGCTTTTTATCATGTCACTGCAGTGCCCTGTGATGTATTCCAGGTTCTCAAGCTATCCAATCTAGAGAGCAAAGTGATTGAGACCGAATATGCTATGACTGAAATAGAGGCTGCAGCATCTCAACAACTACACGGATTGGCTAAACAGAGTGAGCAGGCTTTGGAGGCTGTTCAAAAGAAGCTACTGCTCGCCAATGACAAAATAGACGAGTTCATGACGTTTGTGAAGGTTTGAATTTTTATTTTCTTTCAAGTGTTCAAATAAATAAAGGTAGTCTTGGGTGAAAGTAAAAAGGATAAAGACCTAGTCTATGCTGCATTCTGTGAGCTGGAACAGTCTTTGAAGCTCTCGCACTGGCTCGGTGCCACCTGTGAGCTGGTCTGAATGGGAAGGAAAGAGCCAATGGCTGTAGGTCTCTCCCCTAGACTTCTGTAGAATAACATCATTCATATTTTTGTATACGGCTGCTGTTGTACTTTTTTGTTTTTCCTCAAAAACCATGCATAGTTGTATAGTAAATGACTGCAGGAGAGATTTTACCAGCACGTGAAATAACATAATTCATATATGTTGATTAAAGTGAATTACCTTATTTCCCACAAGATACACTTTTGAAACTCCTTTTTCATGGGGAAAGATGTGCTTTCTTCTAATACAGAGTTCTATTAGAGGAGAAAGAAATGAGCTTTCTTTCCATAGCTACATGGTTGTTTGTGGCTAAGTTTGGGAAAGCATAAATAAACCTAATGTATATTTGTTGTTTTAATAAAACACCCTATCTTATTCACACCAGGACCACAGTTCTCTCATCACTGGGGCTAATGCGAATTTGGGAGTGAATTCATTGAATAAAATGCAGTAGCAATTATTGAAAAAGGAAATAATTGTTTGTAATACAGATACTTTACATACTCCTATAATGAAAAAGTATAACAAAAATTATCAAATGAGGATGTAGAGGTAGCAGTAATGACACAAATTACATATCAGCAACTATGATACTTCATTCTTTGACGAATGACTGAAGCTCTTTTAATAACCGTATTAATTAGCATTTATATGATCGTACTGTACACGCACAAAATATCAATATGTAGTTTCTTTATACATAATAATACTTAGCTACTAAACCCAAATATGTAGGTTTTCTCCTGGGTAAAAGAATATATGTGCATTCATACTTCAAATAACATATTTTCTGACTACTGTCACTCTGCAGAAAGATTTTTTGAAATTAAAAATGCTGTGTGTAAGTGAAATATTGATGAACAGAGAGTTCCTTAGTAGACAGTTTTGTTTAGTTAGGTGCAAAATATTTATGGAAAAAATGGTCTTTGAAATCAAATTTTATTTACGGTGTACCACTATAAAATGTATAGTTGGAAAACCTTGGTATTTCAGTGGAATTTTGTAATACTTCAAGTATTAAGACATTCTTAAATACCTCTTACTACTCCATGTACCCCCATAGGAAAATCAAGATGGCACAATAAGAAGTAGCAGTGCTTCTTGCTACACCAGCTCTTCATTTGAAGTCTGGTGGTCTCATTTTTGCTCTCTCCTTCCAGACTGCTGTCAGTTTTCCCCTATCTTGATGTCTGGCTCTCCCTCTAGTCTCAATTCCTCAAATAATTTTTTCTGCATAGAGATCAAATTAAATCAAATTTAAACTGATCTTCTTTGAACCTATCTAACTTATTTGTATGACCCTTTTACCTTTATCTGATATCCTCTTCATTTTTCAAGCCTGACCTTATTTTTCTGAGACCATAAGTAGTCTCAGTAATCACTTGGATTTGGTTACTTTTGCTCGCTCTACTGTGTCTTTTTACATACAACAATGTCTTTTGTACAGTTCTTTTTACATACAACAAGTCATTTCAACATAGCTAATGAAACTTTTGAGAAGAGACTGTGGTTATTTCTGTTTATAGCAGTTAGTTATGGAAAAATTGAAGTAGCAATCACAGTAGCATGTTTTGGATCTCCTGTTTTTAATTTTATTCTGAAGAAGGAAATGACTGTGATATGTGAAGCAGGAGTGGCTAATATACATTAGAAAGCACAGGCAGGAGATATTTGCAGTACCTCGGGGCATCAAATTAAATACAACTGTGAGCCAGATTCTTCAACTCCATTCTGCAGGGATCATCTGTAGGCAAAACTGAAGTGGACTATGGGTATGTAAGCCATAAAAGCAGGAGAATCAAGAAGCATTTTCTTTTGCCAAAAGGATCAAATTCTTTCAAGAATTATGAATACCTATATTACACAAAATGTAGAGGAGAGCACTGCATTCTGCCAGCCTCTGCATGCACGAGAAAAAGACTGAATGTACACAGTGAAAGACTGAATGTCACTGTGAAAGTAACGTCTCATGTTTATTTCCATGGAAATTGTAAAAGATACATTAGCATAATAACACCATTTCATACAGAAAATTCTCAGCTACAAAGCACTATTTGTCAAGATCACCACCATCATTAGCTATGCATTTTTACCAGACTCATAAAAAATTGCAGCAGTGGAAGTGACCCACTGCTGCTGTCACCACTGCCAAAACATACCCACCCACGCCTCACTGTGCTCAAATCCACTGTTGTTTGGTCTCCATAAACATTCAGCAAGCATTGTGAATGTCACCGCATGCTTTTTTCCTTATGGACAAATTCAGTTCTGCAGAGTTGCTTCAGGCACGTTTCCACGTCAGATGCCATTGTGTCAGACTGCCCTTCTGCTGCCACCTGTCACATGACATGTTGTGGAATATTGGTGGGAAGGTTCAACCTCTACTGCCATAACACCAACATCCACCTCTGACATTGTGGGCCAACATAATAAAGCAGGAGGCATTACTTTCAGAACAGTCCTCATTAACAGTTAGGTGTGTAAGTGAGGTGATGCTAAAGGTTTTGGGTATTATGAAAGACTGAACTCTAACTCTAATAGTAGAGGAAAATTCATAAGCAGAATGATCTGCACGTGATATTTAACTAGTAGTTAGAGGGCTACCAGAAACCTAATAAACATAAGATGTAAATTTTTCTAAGTTTTTTTTTTTTTACATCCCATGTAGGCTATAACAGGCAATCTAACTTGTCTAGCGAAGAGTGTGAAGAGAAAATAAAGGGTTTTCTTTACTGAAATTTACTTTTCTGTACAAGAAAAGTAAATAAGTAAACTTGATATATGAAGAGACGTTAGGTGTTGTAATAGCCGAAACAAACAAAGTGGGATGATAATATATAATTTTATTGCAAACATTTCCTGCATATATTTCTCTTGTGCTAATTTACCATTCAGGAAGACTTTCACTATTAGACAGAATGTGAAAAGGAGGTATTTGCAAGTTGGGGTGGAGAGCAGGGGAGAGTGCTGTGATTCTGAATTAAAGGACAATTGGTTTTGGAGTTACTGATAATTCAGAATGACAGAATCTTGAATGCATTTGGATCAATGTGCAAAGTCGTAAAACCTGAGGGAGACTTTTCTGGTAGGAGTTTGTTAAACACTGCTGGTTCAAATTAGAATATTTGATGAATTAATCAGATATCTGTAATATACAATAAAGTACTGCTGTTGGGATCACAGTTTGGGAATTTCAGCATGTAACTAAAATTGCTAGATTGTAAAATCTAATAATATTTTCTAAAAATTGTGTAAGATACAATTGCCAACAGAAGTTGCTGTAACAAATATGTTCTAAGTCATTCTTTGACATATTTTTGTTGGAGTGTGCTATGGATATCAGGTGTTTTGTCCTAAATTACATTCACTGAGAACAAACAGGGCACTTGAAATAGGTGACGTATGGATTCGGTGTTGTTCAGAGTAGTACAGTCTCCGAAGTTGTTATGAGGAAAGGTTGGGATAAGAGAAAGTGTGAAGAATTGTGCGCTGTAACAGATTGTTAAGCAACCAAAAAACGCAGTTCCATAATTAGTGGATAGCTTCTTGCTAGTGTTACTGCATGTTATAAAACAGAACCTAATACTTAGAAATAAAAGGGCAGTATAGAGGTATTAGGAAATGGATTATAGATGATAACCTGAAAATACTAGTAGCAGTAGAGGATGGAGAAGAGACTGAAGATGATCAAGATGGTTAGTCATGCCAAGGTGTGAAGGGCAGGATCTGAAAATAAGACTGGTATTACAGAGTGTATATGACCTAGAATTAGACAGAGCAACTCTGCAACAGTGTAAAGACAGAAATCTTGTATTTCTGTTCTGTACCTGAAAAGTAGTAGACTGATGTTAAATGAAGATGATGAAACATACCCAAATCTAACATAACAAGTCACCACTGACTATGATCAGTGGAGAATTATAAACAATTTTAGGAAGAAGTACTTTAAATTGAGAAATGTTATGTCTTAACAATGTTACGGGGCTTTTTGAGGAATTTGTTTCTTGCTAATCCTCATTTTGGATAAAAATTCAAAATAAATATGTACTTTAAAACTGACATAAGCATTGGAGTAATTTAAAAATGTTCAGATATAGAGTCAACATTCAGAAAATGCAGTCAGGATAAACATTTTTAGGTCTGTTAGTCTGACCTAATTTCTGGCTAAAATAATGAAAATCTGCTATGAAATTCAGTTATTAAACCATGGGTATACTGGCATAGTTATACTTCTTAGAATGGTTTCATGTGAAATAATTTGTATTGAATAAACCTGCTTTCTTTCCTTGAAGGAAATGCAAGTCAGTTGATAAACATTACTGTTCATTTTAATATACTGTTCTTTAAGATATCTGACCTAGCACTCTGAGATGTTTGGATAAAAAATTTACGCTATGCAATGTCAATAATATGTTAAATAGATTGAAAATTGCCTGAGTGGTTGAATTGAAAAGTAATTCATAAAATTTAGATGTTTCTAGAGTTCTGTCAAGGTGAAAGCTAAGCTTGATTATAAAATATTTTCACACTTAGATATCAAATCCTATAAAATTTATCAATGGCATTTAAGATAAATAATACTGAAGGTAGGGCTGTAAGTATAATGTAGGCTAGGCCTAATGAAATGTATTTTTATTACAGAAGAATACAAGCCACCTATAAAAAGCTGCTAGTCACCCTGAGAGGATTTCAGATTCTTTTTGTAAATCCACGTCTTTTCATCCTGTCCAGTATCTACCAGCACCATAAATTTTCTTTGTACCATTCAGTTTCTACAGTATACCATTGTTCAATATTTTCTATATCGTGTATTGCAGTAG